AACTACCATGACCTGTTTATAAACCTTGTGCTTGGAGCAGAGGGGGAAAGGAGATGGGGCTGCTCACAACAAACGTTTCCTGTGCTGGCTGAGTCACTGTGAGGTTCAGCAGCTCAGTCCTGCTGGGGACGTCTCACAGACCTCACTCCCCATTCAAGACTGTAAATTTCCTTCCTGAGTTTGTTAGCAGCAAACAATGTGTGTAAAAAAAACCCCTCAAACACCCAAGCCCACTATAACTGCTGTTATTATGCAAAAGAACTAATGCATAAGCAATCTGCTGCCCTTGGAGGAGCGTGCAACGTGACACCAGCCACCACAGAGAGCAGGGCAGCAGCTCTTCCAAACCTCGAGATAAAGAAGGGATCTAAGTGGGGCTGGCTGAAAATTTTCCATTCAATACTTTTCTTTTAACCTGGCTCTCTGAGTAACTTTATTATTTTTTTTTCTTCCAAAGTTATGTCATTTCTGTACAAAACATCACCTTCTTACTAAACCAACCGAACAAGAATCTCCTCTCTCTTTGCTAATCTGAATAATTTTGACCCTGGGAAAATGTCGTGGGATATGCCTTGGCAAATTTTTAGTGCGCACACACCAAGTCCTCATCAGGCTCCAAGGACAGGTTTCCAACCTGTTGTCCTGACTTCAGGAAAAGCTCCCAGGAAAAGGGGATTAATGGGCAGGAGTGCCAGGTACTGCATGGGAAACCAAGTCTGAGCAGGACAGCAGGCTCTGTGGGAGAATGGGGCCCTAGAGCTCCAGCTTCACAGACAGCAAGCCTTAATTTCCATTTCCTATCTTTCAGTTTTTCACTGAGATGCCAAATTTTTTTTCTTATGGGAAAATTACATTCCAATCACTGCTGATGTTAAGCCTTAACCTAAGAAAGTTCCAACTTTTCTTTCTAGCTGAGATGTCTCTTTCAAATTTTTCCTAAAGCTTCAAGAAGAAAGAATAAAAGCCATGGGATTCAGAGAAACTTGATATTTCTCATGTTTAAAGGGGAGTTAGTCATATTAAAGTGATCTTCTCTTTATACGTCAGAAAAGAGAGTAGCAGAAGTGACAACAAAACACACAGCTATTTTTTGATTTCCAGTTCACTGTGAAGAGTTGTTTTCACCCTCTCCCCCTTCTCCCTTTAGGAAGAAGTGTTAAATTAGCAATAAAAACAGCACATTAGCTGACAGGTACTGCAAATAATCTAATCATGAGACAGCATTAAAAAAACCTATTCAGCATGTTGTGGATGTTGGGGTTATTCTCTTCAGCAATTACATCTCTCGGAAGCTCTCCCTAGATATTTAATGGGCTGGAGATAAAGAATTTTTAAAGCACATTTCAGATCTGCTGGTATTGAAAAGGATCAAGTATTTCATAGTCACAACTAAGTTTTACAATTGTTTATGGCACATCCTAAGTTAATCTCCTTCAGAAGGAAGCTGACAGTACCTAACACGAAATTCTGCCAAAGAGAGTCTGTGTAGGCATAAAAGGAGAAGAGGCAGAACGCAATGCTGGGCATCATGAATAAAAAGCCTTATTCAGCCAGGGCCCAAAAGTGACTTTTTTAAGGCTTATTTTTAACTAACTGTGAACTTCTGCAATAAGCAGAGTGCTACTTGGCTCCTTAAATAGCTGCAATGATGAGCTGGCTCTCACTTCTGTTACTATGTGAATTTATGGAGCTGTTGTCACACGCTTTGTTGGAGGAAATATATGGTGGTTCTGTCATAGGGACTGGACACCTATAATTCTCACTTTCTTTGCCTGCTCATAAATCCCTGCTGCTCAGCCACACCATTATTATACTTGGGTTGTTGCTATAATCCCCTCGCTGGAGCGGAGCCCTCGCAGTGCCTTGCAGGGGAAGTGCTGAGTCACCAGTATCGCTCCAGTGGAGATGAAATGCTGCACGGGGTCGGTGACTGCCTGGCAAAGGAGAGCCAGGCACACAGATCTGCCCCGGGGCATGCTGACAGATAGATCCCAGGCTGAAAGGCATTGGGTGCCTTGGAAATGCCACTTTGTGTGGGGTTTACCTTCTTGAATAAGGTTTCATGGGTTTTGGTGCCTGATGGGCATCAAAACAAAGGTACAGGCTTTGCTTCTTGATTTTTTTTCTGTAAGACCCTGCCTAAGAAAGAGCATTTTCTGCTTCTTGTTGATTGGAAAAGCACTTGTCTTACTGGAGTACAAGTCTAAGGAGGAGCAGCTGATGGAGCTGGGGTTGTTTAGTCTGAAGGAAAGGAATTTTGGGGGGATCTTATTACTCCCTACAACTACTGGATGTTGTACACAGGTGGGGGTCAATCTTTTCTCACAGGTGACAGATAATAGGTCAAGAGGAAATGGCTTCAAGTTTCACCAGGGGAGGTTTAGACTGGATGGCAAGAAAGGTTTCTTCTCTGAAAGGATTGTCAAACATTGAAACAGGCTGCCCAGGGAAGCAGTGGTACCACTGTCCTGCAAAGTGATCGGAAAATGCATAGGCATGGTGCTCAGGGACATGGTTTAGTGGCAGTGTCAGGTTAATGCTTGAACTTGATATTAGAGGACCTTTCCAACCTTAACTATTCCATTCCATTCCATTCCATTCCATTCCATTCCATTCCATTCCATTCCATTCCATTCCATCCTTCCCCCCTCTGTGCTTTTTGCCCAGGCCAGTGCAGCAGCTGCAGAGGACTTGGTTGTGCTTCACTTGTGTGCACAAAGCCCTGCCTTGCCCCGCAGGCCTGGAGCTGCCGGCACCGGAGCAGTGTGAGATCCTTTATTGCTCAGCCTCTTTCAGTCTCGCTGGGCTGGGGACGGGTTTGATCTCTGGGCTGCTCTCGGACCTTCGCTGCAGCGCTCCTTTGTGTCCAGCGCCGGTCGCTGCCTCTGGCTCTGCTTTTTGAGTCACTGCTGTCTCTGCTCCTCCGGCCGCTGAACCCTTTCATCTCGCCCCGCTTCGCACTGCAGCCGCCTTCTTTCATCCCCTCCCCTCTGCCTGTGGGAATGCCCTTTCGGCAGCTGCTCTGCCTCATCCCGGGGGCTGCTGGAGGAGCCCCTCGCAGCGGGACACACCGCCGCTGCAGCCCGTGTGGCAGCGGCAGCCCGCGTGGCAGTGGCAGCCCGCGTGGCAGTGGCAGCCCGTGTGGGTGGCAGTGGCAGCCTGTGTGGGTGGCAGTGGCAGCCCGTGTGGCAGTGGCAGCCCGTGTGGCAGTGGCAGCCCGTGTGGCAGCGGCGCCTTGCCGAGCCCCTCCCGAGCCACGCCACGCTCCTGCCTGGCCCCCGGGAAAGTGCTGCTCTCTCCTGGGTCTCTGTCTCTCCCTCTGGCTTTCATCCGTCTCTTTTGCTCAGGCCAGAGGCTGCTGTGTGTGACAAGCCCGACGGTGCCAGGACAGCCTGGTCCCAGCTGGGAACGCTGCCGCAGCACAGGAGCCACAGCGCTGGGAGCCCTGTCCCCGCTGCGAGCCCTGCTCTGTCCCTCCTCTGCACAAACCCTTCTGCCTGTCTCTATGTCCACTGCTAAGAGACAGGTGAGCCCCCCAGGGAGACCCTTCCTGCACCTCTGTGGGAACAGTAAAGTCTAAAACGTGGCTGTGGTTTACTGCCAGCATCAGGATGTCTCAGTCCCGTGTTGGAGGCAAGGGTTAGGCTGTCTACATCCAGCTGTGACCTGGGTGGCAGTCCAGGAGCCACCAGGAGCAGCACCTGGGGGTTGGGACAGCACTGGGGTGCTGCTAGGTGGGCTCCTATTGCTCCAGGTTCTTTCCAGGCTCGCAGGGAGCTACCGAGCATCTGTGACTTATCCCAACAGCTTGCAGGGAGCCAGAATCAAGGAGAGCCATGCCCTGTAGGAAGGGAAAGTCCTGAGGGCAGAGGACCACCACAATTGGTGTCTCATGAAGCTTGTAGCCCACAGGAATGATGCTGCATTCTCATAAGTGGCTCCTGCTCCTCCTTACTTTATCCATGGCCCCTTCACCACCACAAGGACCAAATCCTGGCAGCAGCCATGCACTGAGTGCCCCTTCACCCTCTGGGTGGCTCAAGGATGTCTCCCATCTGTGCTGTAAGCAAACATGGGGAGAGTGGATGGAGACAGGGAGTCTCTGCCCTCTTCCTCCAGCACCGTGTGTCAGCCCATTGCTCTGGAAAGCAGTCTATTGATCAAGATCCATTGCCAGTTATTTCCCGGAGAAGCAAGCAGTGATTGAAGAAAGGTTTGTGCCTCTGAGACATACTTCCCCCCCCGGAGCAGTGCACTTACCTCCTGTTCCACCACCAGAACAAGAGGGAAGGGCCAGCCCAAGGCCATTGTTGCCTTATAAAAGGCAGTGTTGGAGATGGTCAATGATGGGCACCCACTGGAGGAGCTTAATCCCTGCTCATCCCATTTTGACAATAAAATCACATGTTTTGATAATAAAAGCTTCCACCTGGAGAGCTTGATGAAAAGCACAGGGAAGTGTTGGTTCTAGGCAGGAATTTGCTTTACTCTTCTGCTCCTCAGGAGCTTTCATAAGCAGGTTTCTTTGCTACCACAACAGAAAGAACACCCCTTTCATAATGAATTGCCTTCAACTACTATGAGCCAAGCTTAGGGGGTTTTTTGTTTTTGTTTTTTTAAATGTGGGAGCATAGAAAATTAAATCTCTGTTGGATTTTTTTTAAGCAATTATTTTAAGCACTGTGAATAAACAGGGAGTGTCTTACAAACACCTGTTATTTTTCCCATCGTGAGTTTGGCTGCTGCTGAACAGTCAGAAATGCTGCTCTTTACAGGATAAAGTGTGTTTATCTGGCAGAGAAGAATAGGGTTTGTTTTCACCACAGAATAATGCACTGGCTGCCATATAAAATGCAGCACCAACTTTTATTGAATAGGAGGCATTTGTTCCCCAGCTTCCTCCTGGTTGCTGAAAGATTGGTGAGACTCAGTTGCTCCCATCCTGAAAGAGGCACCTCAGACCTGGGCAGAAGGAGCTGGGGTCGTGTCACTGACAGCTTCTCAAAGCTTCTGGGTTTGCTGTGAATATGGAGATGATCTCCAGCATAAGAATTGATTTGGATCTAGCTCTCAGCCCTCTTCTGGGGAAATCAGAAGGTGCAAAGTCTGGACTTCTGAACTTCAGTAGGAGTAAAGTCCATCTTGAAGTTCATGCTCCCAAAACACACTGCAAAAGAAGGATCTAGAAACAGTTCTGGGAGATTATCATGATCAGCTGCTTCCTCTTTACCCCTTTTCCCCATCTCCCTGTCTGAATGCTGCAGGCTGACAGTCCCATGGGGACAAGTTTGCTGCTTGTACAGTAGCATTCAGAGCACAAACAGAACAGCACAGGCACCTGAGGCAGAGGGATTACAGCAGCAGTTGGTTGGCTGAGCTGACCTGATTGAGCTGACACTTCCTTCTTTTCCAGCCTTAACCTTTGCTGAAGGTTGTCACCTCCTGTCGCCTGTCCTCCCGCCGGGTGGGGGGAAGCTACAGAGCAGCTGAGCAGGAGCCTCGTGAGCAGGACATGGCCTGAAGGAAGGGAAAGAAGAGGTCAGAGGTGGCTGGGACTCTGTAGACGAGACAAAGCACAAGGGCTGACAGCAATGGATTTGCAGCATGCACTTGGTATTGCAGGTCAGGCTTGAGGTGACCTGACCAGTGACCATTCCACAGAGACAGCCGAGATCCTTTGTCCTTCTTCCCTCAGGTAGCAACCAGTCACCAGTGCTGTTTTTCAAGTACGTGTCTAAAGACAGCAAGGCTCTCTAACAAGCTAAGACAAGCATCACATTAGTCCCTAGCAGGGATGATTTTAGTAGGGACACTTGCAAAGCTCTATTATAGCCAGCCAGCAAGTGCTCTGCCTCCTGGGTTTTGCTAGTTGATAGTATGGAAGTAGGTTCTTTATTACATTTTCTTGCTTCTCAAGAATTTCCAATAAATCAGGGCTATTTCTGAGGCTCAGATAAAGACCGGGAAGAGAGTGCAGAAGAGAGGTGAGGGGGCACTGGCATTAACTTGCTCCTGTTGGTGCTTGTGCTTTTGAGCAGTTCAGATATCCATCCGGCCAGTTTTCTCCCTTCTCTTACTGGTCTGTTACTGGTTCTGCACTGGATCTGTGCTCTGCCAGGCTGAGGTGTCCTGAGCAGGACATGGTCAAGGGACAGAGGGGAAAGATGATGCCATGTGCGAGGCAGAACAGAAGTTTACACACCAGACGTGCTGTTTGAGCAAAGCACTGCAAGCCAAGCAAAGCTGCCTGGGTTCTGAAGAGCTGAGAAGGAAGCAAAGAAATCTCACCAGTTTTACTCCTGCTGTTGCTCTTTAAAAGTCTCTAGCTGAGAGCACGTAGGCAGCCAGTCTGCATTGCTAACTCTGAACCTCTGCATGGTGAATTGGGACACTCAGGAGCCTTCACCAACTCTTGGCCAGTGGTAGAAAGGATGTTTTCAGTGGTTAAGGTGTAAGACAGGTAGCAGAGACGAGGCTTCCATCCTGGGCGTTGTTACCAGTAAACTGTGTGTGAACAAACCCCTCAGGCCAAAATTTTCATTGCCCTGCCCTTCTGAAAATCAGGCCACGAGTTGCGTAAATATGGGTGTAGGTACCTAGCAGTAGGCAGCCAGCTTGGAACATTCTGGCTTTAATCCCTGAGCCTGAGTTACCTCATTTATAAAATGGGGATAATTCTTTGCTACCTCGAGGGATGCTCTGAAGCACAACCCTATTGATGCTGGTGGAGCATGTCCCAGCTCGCTGAATAGCTATTATTCTATACATGACAGAAATTGGATATGGCAGAGCTGAACCAGTGCTCTTGGTGTAGTTTTCTGTGTTGCCAGTGGACAGCCTTTGAGTCACAGTTCCTGCCCCCCAGCAATGAGACAAAGCACACCAGGGACACTTTTGGCATTGCCACAGCTCCATGTTGCAGGTTTAAAAAAGCCAAGTACCTCAATAGCTCTGCCCCTGCCTGCCACTGCCCCGTGGTACTCAGACTGGACATAGGACATGGATCCGTCCCCCTGGGTGGGAAATGAGTTGCCAGGACACTGAGGTGTGTGGCTTTGTAACTCCTTCTGTTAGGAACAAACTGTGTTTGTATCTCCTCAGGTTTATGTGGTTTGTTTTCATGTAGCATGAGCTCAGCATTTCTGCTGCAGAGACAGACGTCTGCACAAGACAATTAAAAGAGCAAATTGATTCAGAACAGCTCTGGATTTTGACACTCTTCTTCTGTGATAAAAGGATCTCTTCCTCTGTTTCACATGAGCTGTTAATACCAGGAAGCTTTCCCATCAATTTTCCACCACGGAAAAATATTTAATTCAGCCCATGACTTCCATGTCATTTTCATAATCAGCGTCAAGACATTCTTTCCAATAGAACTGTGCTCCTTATTCCTTCTTCCCAGCAACTTATCCCAGATACTCCTAGGAGAAACATGGATGATACATCACTTTATGCTAAGAAACTTATATTTATATTTCAAAAACACTAATGCCACAGGATTAATATTTGCACAATGCTGGTAAAATCTAGCACTTAAGTCACTTCCAGATTTAAATAATAAAATTCAGGGAATAAGATTTTTTAAAATTGAAAAATGCCTGCTTGGTTGTCGTCTTCTGTCCTGTTGGAAACTAAAGCATAGAGGAAATCTTGGGAGAAGTGTGTTATCCTAGGACTGTCTATCTGGATTCACCCTCGGGGTGAGGTGATTTTAAGTTTGGGTGCCTATCTGTAATGACAGCTGCTGTATCTTCTGAGTTTCAACCCTCGACACAATGACAAATGAACCTCCATGCCCACCTTTGCACCCAGCTGGTTTCATATCAGGCAGTTTCACTGCCCACACATAGGTTAGATAAAAGAGGAGTCTTCGACTCTTTTGCAATCCTCTTACCTCCTCAGAAACCTTCTGCAATCTGCATTGTCTTGAACAAAGGGTGAGCTAAAGGATGAGTGGGATACTTCATTATAACCTCTGGCTGTGCAATGAGTCACACCTGTGATTTTGAAATACAAAATAATAAATTAAGAGGGCAGTAGTGAGATTGAGCTGACAACCTGATAATAAAAATACTGGGCAACTTGTCAACTTCAGCTGAGTAACCAAAGAACGACACTTTCTGCCAAGCACAGGCAAATGAAAGGCTCTCTTTGCTGCACTGTTTTCATGATGTGGCCAACAGCAATGTCTAGTGGTTCAATAAAATGTAAACACTGACTATATTTTCTGGAGCCAGTTTCTCTTTTTGTCCTCACGGAGAAGGAAGGTTGGCATCCAGGAGTCTGAAGTAAAGATTGAGAGCTGGGACTCTGCCTTGTGTTTGTGCCAACAGAAAAATCTCTATGACTCTGTTTACCTAAATGTAGATGACTTTATAGATAGGATTTTAAAAAGTACAATTACTATTAGCCTGATTCTCAGAGGGAAGGCATTCATAAATATTCTCTATTTATTAATCATCATACACAGTCATTTTCCTACAGCTGTCAAACTGTCAGACTCTTCTCTTCATTGACTTCTCTTGCTCAGTGGTACAAGGGTGTGTGGTATGGGGCAGCTACCTGGGCCAGCTCGCTGTCCACAACACTGCAAAGCCACGCTGCAGACAGCTTGGGACACAGATTCATGGGCCAGCTTTGCAGGAAAGGGAACATCAAAATGCCAACCAATAAACCAACCAGCCAACCAACCAAAAAAAACCCCCAAAACACCAAACAAACAAAAATGCCCAAACAGAATTTGGGTAGGAATTAATATTCTTCCCTATGGAAAGAACAAAAAAAAAAAAGAAAAACAAAAGGAAAATACTTGTCACCAACATGTCTTCTCCTTTGGGTGACTACAGGAATAGGTATTTGCTACCAGGAAAGCCTCTGTTATTCTGGGCAAAGAGCTCGCTCTCTTTGCCTGTGAGGGGGAGGAATGCTCTCGGTGTTTCTGTGAGAAAGGTGGGGCTGCAGCTGTGTAACTGAGATGTTCATGTGGAGGCTTGGCATGACCCAAAATTGTCACCAGGACAAAAACATCCCCAAACAAAACAGAAAACTTCTCAATGGAGTAAAATCCCCTACTGTAGGCCTGTGCAGAAAGCCAATCTCAGTAATAAGGTGGCACAGCTCCTACTAGAACCAAAATATTTATGGACTTAAGAGTAAAATGTAAACTTTAAACACCACCCCCAACCCCCAAAAGAAAAAAAAATTGCAATTGTTTTTCTTTTCCTATTATTCCAATACATATGGTGTTAGGGAGTAGACATTCTGGTATGAGGCAGAGCCACTGTGTTGCTTGTAAATGGACAAAGTACAGGGTACTTTTTAATGTCCTAAACAGGATATCTTGACTTTTGATCATTGCTCAAATAAAACAAAACACTGCAGTTTTTGCCCATCATTACAATTGCACATTTAGTTTCATGATTGGCATCTGGGCTGAGCCTGTGTATACTCTAATATCAGAAAAAATCATTTCCAGACAAGGGGGCAGATTGAACTGCCAAGGAGCTACCCACTTGTACCAGTTGTGAGCTGGAGGATGGCTCGTGTAGTGGAGAGCTGATTTCTTTGCACCTCTCACCCAATCAGCACTGTTCCATTGATGATTTTGTGTCTTCAGTTTCAGAGATTGTAGAATGATTTGGCTTGCCAGGGACTGGACAATGAAATGACAGAGACAGATCTAGATTGAGTGAAGCACACCATTTTTAGCGGGAAGTATATATTTTTAAATATTGTAGTGAGATAATCAATGTGTTACAGCAGGTAAGCATTGTCTTGAGGCATCTGGGGCCATGGGCAGTCTGTACCCCAGTGTCAATCACAGCCCCATGCTCATAGTACCTCCTACAGTAGGACATGCCCGTGTCTATATTTTATTAAAGAAAACAGCTCCAGGTTAGGGTGCCAAATTGTTCTTGAAGCAAGTGAATCTGGCAGCAAAGACAGAGCTCAGGATATCTTCTTGGCCATGAAGCAGTGATGGAAAGGTGAGCAAGACAGATGGTGATTGCTATATCAGACACTTGGCACTACTATTCCTCAACTCTTCTGTCAAGTGAAAACCTTAAGAGAAACCCCCACTTTACTAAGTATGCTCATGAATTTAATCCAATGGGACCTGGAAAAGCCAATCAGCCATATGTCCACAGTGAACAACCCTTCAGGAGGTGCCGTGGCTACACTTGCAACCTGTCACCTGTAACTCCTCCAACTCAATGGCCACATATTTATTTACATTCTGAGACTTGAATTCATATTCTCACCTGGGCAGTGAGACATGTCTCTTTCTCCCCCACTGCTGCTTGCCAGGAAATGCATAGATAAAGCAAGGTGCTCCCTCTTGCCACCAAGGACAATGTGCTCTTATTAGCCCTGGAGGCTGGACATGCTTCTTGTTTCAGCAGCCTGGAGTGAACATGGAAAGCACCTGGCTACAAGGGCTGTAAACAAATAGAAACTTGACTGGGAGTTGCCACATAGCACAGGAATTTAAATGAGATACAAAGCCAGGCACCTCCTATTACTAAGGAAAATTCAAGCTGCCATTTGTCCCCGCACGGTTCTGTTTTCCAGTGCCAACACACCCCAACCAGAGACAGCCATGGAGGATTTTCTGGGCCTGATGCAATGTTCCCAACCTGGGATCAGATTAGTCCTAGCCCAGGATCTTATGCAAATCCAAGGCTGAAGGAAGCTTGAGAATGAAATAAGAGAAAATCCCCCTGATGAAGGCTGCTGATAAAAGCTGCCGCCTCCATCCGTGAGCACGCCGCCCACAGCCCGGCTCCTGGCGTGCCACCCTGGGCAGGGGCTCGGGGCTGATGACAGTCCAGCACCGAGGAGAACAGGATGCTGTCCCATCCCACGCACACGACAGCTCTATCTGAGTGAGCAGGAGGCCATGCCAAGAGCACGGACAGAGGCAGACCTGTGTTCCACCATCTGTGAGAGTCCTTGGGCAGCTGTGCTGTGATGGCTGTGTGGAGGGGCTGAGTGTAGGCACCATGCAATCTTCATTTTCCTGGGCTTGCTAGATAGCCTCTGTTCAGTGGACATATATATCTACTTTTGACAAGATTTGGGAATTAAGGGGGTCTCCAGACTGCCTGTGTTTCCTACCTGCTTACAGACAGTACTCACAGTGTATTTGTTGTGGTGCCTCTTTTGTAAGAAGGGATCTACTCTAGTTATCCCAAATATTAGGAGTGGAACTAGGTCCCACAATTTGTTTCACACCAATAAATGACATTCAAACGGCAGCAGCTTCTCTCCCCTGCTCTCTATGCACAGGGTACACACTGCAGCGAAGAAGAAAGCACTGCAGTTGCAGAAACAACTTCTAGTAGCCGCTGTGATCCCTGATAATTACTCTTCTTAGCCTGCCCTGGTCCTTCCAGATGCTTGATGGCTGCTCAGCAAAGCCAACCGCGTGCCCTACCTGCGCGAGACTCTTGGTATCTGATATCAACGTGGCTAAGGCCGACTTGCAGGTTCCGTCACTTACCATTCCCAAGAAACTTTCTCCCGGAGGCAGTCAAGGCACAGGGCTGGCGCAGCAGGTATTTTGCCCAGTTAAGCAAGTGAGCAGTGCTATGAGGCTGGTTGACATTTAGAGCAGAGCAGAGGAAGACAGACTGGAGGGAGATGTTGCAACCTTGTTTGTGTTGGCAGTGGATGGGGTTGCGAAAAAGCCCTAAGAGAAAGTAACAAACAAAGGGTGTGTCTTGAAAGGAGGTTGAGTTCAGAAGGCTTTGCACAACACGTGCAAGGGCCAGGTGATTCAGAGCTGCCTTTCCTACACTCTTGTGACCTAAATCCCCCAACAAAAGGGACTAGTATGTGCAAATACAGCAAGAGCCTCCTGGCCTCTGGACCTGGTTTTCCAGGAAGAAAACCTGGCCCTGTTGTACAGAATGACACACTGAGGTGCAGCACAGGATGTTTTCAGGGTTGTGTTTAGAGACTTGGGGACTGTTTAAGATCAGACTTGGGGGTAGTGGCCCAATATTTTAGTTTTCATGTGGCTGAATTTCTTCTAACATAATGCTCTTCTTTACATTGCCTCTTGAAAGTCAACCATTATTATGAGTATTTCAGATTCTTTCCATTTGATTGTTTTGTTCTGGGTTTTTTTTTTTTTTCCAAAATAGGAAACAGCTTTTGTTTGTTTGGGGGAGAGGAGGATTAGCACTCCATGTGCGTGATGCATTCACAGAATCAAAGAATAGTTTGGGTTGGAAGGGACCTTAAATTCATCTGGTTCCAGACCCCTCTTCATGTGCAAGGACACCACCCACTAGGCCAGGCTGCAGAGGGCCCCATCCAACCTGGCCTTGGACACTTCCAGGGACAGTTTAAGAAATATTCTCTCAGTCCAGGCCTCTAGAAAAGTACAGCAAGCATAATCAGTCTGCACCTGTTAGTTAGTTAGGGAAATATACTTTGTAGCTTTTTTGGGGCTCCAGGAGTGAAGTGCAAGTGTTCTTTGCTCCTTCGTTTGCGCACACGGTATGAATTATTGTTCCATCTGCTGTGGGAGCACTCCCATAGAACATTGCTGTGTTACTGTGCAGGAAATTTTTCTGAGCCCATATTATTTCCTGGGAGGGGTGCTCATAAGATGACCATGAGTTTTTTAATCCCTTTGGCGACCTGTCTAGAGGTCCCTCTATGCTTTCACCATTATGGGGAGCCTTTCACCCCATCTTGCATTGCCAAGAGGAGATCACACAGTGGTGCTGACTCAGTGCTATGGAGAGGGGTTGTGTCATGAGGCAGTGATGTCAGAAGGGTGGAATCTGCATATCCTGTTGGAATAAACAGATAAATGCCAAGTCAAGCTCCTCCATCATCTCTTGCGTTCTGAGATTTTTTCACTGCCTTGTTTGTGATTCAGCCTTTGAGGCACCTGGTGTTTGTCTGTATTTTTCCCACCACTGAATCATATTCTCATTTGCACGTTATCCCTTGCCTGAATTTCCCCAATCAGTGTCTAGACACAGATATCACTGCTTTGTGAGGAATACAGGTGGAAAAGCATACTTTTATTCCTGAGGATCTCAGAAGCTTTTCTGAGAGGCAAAAAGTTTGCTGTCTTCTTTGAACAATACACAGACTATCAAAAATCAGACCACAGCATGGGCAGAGATAGGAACACAATGTGTAGGAAACACAATATTCAGGTAGGGCGGCCAACACTGTGCTCGTCTGTGTCTCAGTCTCTATAAATCAGCCAGATGTCTTGCAGGCAGAACAGCAAAAATAAGGTCTCCAGAAAGCACTCAAATCCAGTGAAAGAAGAAACTTTATGAATCAGCATGGTGTGCATTGAGGTCAGTGAGGAGGAAGGCAGAAGGACATTAACATGAGAATAGTCATTTATTAAAATGCTGCAGCCCTGAGAAAGAAGAGAAGGAATTGTTGCTTTCAGAGATCATGTGCAACAATTGTTAGACAGGGGAACTTCCCTTCTTCTCTACTGCAGTAAGACCTGCATTCATACTTAGCTGCTCTGGTTTATATCTATATGTTGTAGCTCTAAAACCCTCAGAGCCAAGTTCGTTTGCAATATTTTTTACGTAAAGCATTTATTTTAACAGCTTCTCTACATGGACTGTGTGCAGTTCTTTGGGGACAAGGCCATTTTTCAAAGTTAGTGCTGCAGAGACAATAAAAAAGAGCTAAAAGAGATTAGAGTTTTGACTCTTACTATATATCAGGGAAATCTTACTGGAAACCTCAGACAGAAGCACAGTAAAAAGGCTAAGCATGCTGCTTCTGTGATATATTTGCCTGAAATTGCTATAAGACTCATATAACTTTTCCCTGTTTGCACTTGAGAAACAGATTGCTTCACTTCTTGATCCAAAGTTTGAGCAGTTCATGGTTGAAAAACTGCAAACCAAGGGGCATTGGCTGATAATCATGTAATTGTGCTGCTTTTCTGTCCTTTTTTTTTTTAGCGTATGTTGACAGCACATAAATCATCATAGCTTTCCAGACAGTTATATTGGTAGAGCTCTGCTCCCAGGATTTAAAGGCAAAGTCTTGCAATATGAGGACTGAACATCAGCTGAGCCATGGCCACTATCACTGTCAGCTTAGGTGACAACGAGAGGAGGTTAATCCAAACTGCATCGACTGCAGGCCTGTGCACAGCAAAGCCACACTGGCTTTGTTTATTACTGGCTTAAGAGGGAGCACATGGAGAGTTACCACATCTCAGCTAATATATGGTAAGTTGCTAAGCTTGCAAGCCTTGAGTCCCTATTTTATGATTCACATCTGACACAGGAAATGGAAGACAATAATTAATGAGTGGAAGAGGAGATATGACTTTACAATAGAGAGAGATGGTGAGATAACCTTATTACATATTTCACTGGATCTTTTACCAAACAGATGATAGACTCATTATAAAGGGTGCACAGAACAAAGGGAACATTGACATTTAAAGAGATTCTGCTCCGGAAAGCAGCCACAGAATTGGCATGATGGGTTTCCGTGACTTTTATGTTTGGCTTTCGGGTGAAGGAACAGCTTTGTGTCTATTAGACCTGCAAAGTGTTGCAATGTGGGAGTTACATTGATTTTCAATCTGATGAGAATTTGGTCTTGAAGATTCTGTTCCTTCCTCCACCTCTTTTTTCTTTCGTCTTTCTTTCTTTTTTTTTAACTTCATTTTCCATGAAGGCCAGCTAGCAGCAGCTTTTGTTTTTTCTCACTTGTTCACAGGGCAGGACTGCTTTTCCCACTATGCTGTTGCAGTTTCAGAGCTGCCTTCACACAAGCTGACACCACCCTAGTTTAACCAGTGTGAACTTTTGTATTTGGTGATGTACATCAGCTGTAGAATGTCTTATCCTTGTTCATTTACAAAACTCTTCTAACCAATCAGAGATCAAAAACCAGCTCTATTGATACTAAAATAAGAGGGTCTACACAGCCTCATGCCCTGATTTAGTTAAACAATCTTAAATAATTAAACTTCAAAATAGTGCTATTGAATATGCACTCGATATGTTGGAAATATCATGCCAGGGCAGTACAAGCTATTGAGTTGTATCCTCAGAGGTATACTATAAAAACCTTTTTTTTTTTCAAGGAGCCTGGAAAATAAGAATTAAAATCCTTGTAAGCTTTAAGTCTGTGAGTGCACTGGTGGAATTGAAGAGTGGCAATACTAAAATAATGCATGGGGTAAGAGAAAACCACATCTGGCTCTGTGTCACCTCTCTCTTGCAATGCACCCTTGGCAGACACCGCAGCTCCCTGAGTGACTTTGGGAACAGTGGGTGCTGCCTGGTCGCATTTGGGATCACTTGGAACATGATGTGTTTAAAGCCAGCTTAAGTCTCATAAAAACCTGTAGATAACACCCAAACAAAAGGCTGTGCTGGGGCCATTTTGCACTTTCTGAAATGTTTCTCAGAATTTGGGTTCACAGGAAATTGCAACTTTCCGGTCTGATTCAGGAAAACATGAAATGTCAGATTTTTCTGTGGAACAGAGATTTCAGCACTCATTCAGCTCAGCCAGCAGGTGAGGAGAAGCTTAACAGTAACACATGGAGTTAGTGTCCACCACAGTAATCCCTTGAGCAAAGAGCACACGAGGCTGGAAAACTCTGAAAGGGAAGTCAGACTGACCCTAACAGAAAACCTTTCCTAAAGGAAACCACATCTGTTCAAGCTGGCATGGAGGACTGTTCTCAGGAGGAGCGAGATGCAGAGTTCAAGGGAACTGCCTGTGAAGACACATGGTGACGGCGCTGGGTTATATAATGTGCCTTGGTGTGAGGAAGCTCTTTGTTCTATTTACAAATCCCTGTATTACTGACAAGGAAACTTTGATGGCTGCCTTCCAAAGACAACAATGAAGAAAGAAAGAAAGAAAGGTGGGTTTTTCTTTGTCTTGCAGCTCCCATAAATCCCCTCCTGTTCTGAAATGTGGTTTTTAAAATTATTTTTTCTTTCCCCCATGTGTAATCCCATTGCAGGTTTTACAAGTGTAATTACAAAGCAATTAAATGTGGGAGCAGTGAGGAAGACTGTACCAAGGAACACAGCCTATTTGTTTGAAAACTCCACAGGTGCTGGTTACAGCTTTGAAACACCAAGGTTATTGTGTCTGAAGAGTATTGTTTCATCCACAAAGAGGTCAAATACCGGAGAACATTCTTGGATATTATGTGAGATTTAAGTGAGACTTGTTCCTCAAAGACTACCTTATAAACCAGTTTATCTGATACAAAAGCTCCCAAACCCTGAGAAAACTCAGGGTGAGATTGGAATATCAAGGGAGAGGCCACAAAATCATTAATATTGCAGAGTAGAGGGATAGAGAATGAATAATCACTATTTGCTATAGCATGAGAACACTGATTTTCATTAAAAAAACAATCACAGTCATTTTTCTCTGCAGAAACAGGCTTTTATTAAATAGATTCCTCTAAGCCAATCTCTGAGACTCTGCCTCTACCATTCACTTTTCTGTACTCCTCAGTAAATATTTAGACTGAATGGTGTAGTGCTGTAATGTCCTCTGGGAATAACCCTTGGTACCTGTCACTAAATCCATTCTGTATATTTTCTGGTGAACAGTTTGGCTGTAGAGTAGATGCTGTTCTTGATATTCAATGAAAAATTTCCCTGAGTACTTTGGGGAAGAAAAGCATTTATTTGGTAAAAGCACATTATAAAGAATTATAAGGTAGGGATAGTCCTTCCAAGTTTTGTTCAAACTCCATTTCAGACATCAGGAGTCCTTTATCTCAGCTCTCTATCTAGGAAAATATTTACCCATTATAATGACCTAATCACAGGAAGGGGCCAGGGCCCAATTTTCTCGTTTGCCTGCCTGTCTCATTGTGGGGTGAGGCTTGATGCAGGGTGTGTACCAGTCCCAGATCCCTGTGCAGAGCCTGCATTTGGTGCTCAACACCAACAGCATTAACCAATGCAATGCTCTGGGTGTTGGGGACAGAGTCTGGGTGCTCTCAAACGCTGCCTTGTGATATTCAGCTTCTCCATCAGGGCCTTCCTACCATTTGGGCAGCATGGCCACCTCATCTAGGAATCTGTGGAGCAACACCAGTGCTGCTAACGCAAGGCTGAGTAGTTGTTGTAAAGAATGAATGAAAGATCTTAACTGAAAGACATGTGAACCATTCTGCTTAGGACAAAAGCAGAGCAGAAAAGGGCCCAGATGAAGTCATGGACATTCAAAGAGTTGAGCTGCTGTGTTTCCACAGGTGAAGTTGCAAGCTGATCCCTGTGTAATAAGATAGGGTGGGAAAGGTTATATAATTATGTTGCTTGTTGCCTTAAGTCTTCCTTCTCTGTAATGCTTAATAAAAAAAATTCTTCAAGGATATAGGTTATTATCCCTGATCAGGTGCCCAAAGGGAGGAAACAGAGGATGGTAAACAGCTGACACATGGGTGTAGACAGCTTTTGATTTAATAGTGGAGAAAAGTGGCATTTTTCAGTCTGTGTTTGGGAGGGGTGAGATGTTAACAGGTGAGATGGGCCTCCAGAAGTTCTGCAAATGCTGGAACCTTGTGGCTGAAATATAGACAAGATAATGCAAATACCAATTGATTTTTTTTTTCTTTTCCCTGCAGTAGGTGTGGGACTAAGAAACAAAGGTGGCACCAAAATGTCACCTTTCCTGAAGCTTTGGAGCCATGTGACTATCTCTAAAAGCTCTGTGCAGATCAGGTATTTGTAAACATACTGCTTCAGGCTCACAAACTCAGCCAGCCCTTGCTAGGAACCTTACCACATTCCTGGAGCTGTGGTGGCTGTGGTGTGTCTGTAGCATCAAACACATACCCGAAGTGTTCTGAGAGAGGGGACAGAATATACATAGGTGGCTCTGACATCTTAAGGATTTGCCAAGGCGCCAGTGAGATCCTAAGGTTTCTCCAGTGCAGCCACAATCTCAGTGTTCTCAGGTTATTACTTTGAAGGAAAGATGGTGCTTCCAGCACACATTTACTCTCAAATTGCCCACTAAATTAGAGACAATTTGGAAGAGATCTATGAGCAATCTGGTTTAGCTCTCTGCAGACATTCCTCTCCAGCCACAAGCAGCTCATGAGCAGTTTGAGCCCAGCTCCAGTGCCAGGGATCTGTCACCTCACTGGCAGCGGGGCTGGGCTGTCTCCTTGGTGATCCAAATTTTTGATGGTGTGAGGAAATGCGCATTCAGGGATGGCTGAGCTCAGGGATACTGAGGTGCCCTGCATTGCCTCTGTGTCCCAAAGTGGGGTGGAGGAAATGGAGCAGCCTGTGGGCAGAGATGCTCTTGGTCAAGGTCAAACGTGGACTGAAATGGGTCTATAAAAATTCTTGAGTCAGTCCATACTTATGTGCTATAAGGTATACAGAGTTCTGAGGGTAAGTAATGGAGGTAAGGAGTCCATCATTTTCATAGCCCAGAGTGATCTCCCAGAGCCTAGGGAAGGGCTGCTGTCTCCTTTTATTGATGGTGCACTGAGGCACAAAGCTCCAGAGTACTGGGGAGAAACATGTTGGACAAATGTTTCTCATTAAGAAATGTTTATTTGTCAGACATGATTCCTTTCATGTAGTGTGTGTGGGAGTGTATCCATTTTAGCAAGATACTCTAGGAAATGTTTTCTTGGAGTCAGCTTGGAATTCCTGGCTGAAATGGTCCTTCGTTGTGGCATGGTTATTCCTGGGCTGGCTGGGAGTCTGTAGGTCAGATCTTGGAGCTGAGGTTAGCAAGGTGGGGAATTAAAACAAGAAAAACTGATTCTCAGTCACTTCTGGCACTGTGATTTGTTTTTCACTGCATGTTTTTTGTCCTTTGTTACAAGGGAGAAAGTCCTCCAAAATGTTGAGAAGTTCTGTTTTTGTCACAGTAGAAATGAGAAAGATTCCAGACTCTCCAAGATATTGGCAAATGGTGGAAGCTTTTCCAGCTCAGTTCAAGCTGCAGTTTTTCCCAAGTCCCACATCTGTTCTGTTGCAGAGCTGCATATTTAACCCTGCTTTTCTGGATAAAAAATTATGTAAATAAAACAATTTGCTTTTGAAAACTATCATTGCCTAATCACCTGGTGGAGAAAGGGCAAAACTGACAGCCAGAAACTGGAGACCCAGCAGCAATGTCCTCTCCTGTTAACTTCATTGTCCTTCCTTTTGACTTCATTGTCCTCTGTTTACAAGCTGGTATGTCAGATTGGTCACAATTCCCAAGGCAGTTGTTTACCAAACTAAATACTTTTCTTTACATAATTTTCTTTGTATATATCTTTAGTATAAACCAAATTAACCTCTTGCTTCTTCAAGGCTTTAAATAATTTAGGACCTCTGTAGGTGTTTTGAAGCACTCCACACAGGACACCTCCTGAGCCAGCAAATCCAGAGCTTTGCTGTTGCACAGGGCACTGTCTGATGGCACATGGGATTTGGGCTACCTAACAGCCCAACATCAACCTCAAGTTACTGGGAACATCCACCTCAAGTTACTTGTCTTTGCCATTACCAACTGCACAGCTGATTTCTTTGATTTCTTAAACGCTTCTCATCAATCCTGTTCTTCACTCAAGTCTGCCCAAAGGCTCAGAAAGCGAAATGGAAATGTCCGGAGGTCAAGCACAGAAATCAAGTTTTGTTCAGATGAAAAATATCAAGAGAGAATGTGCTACCTCTGAGTAGGGTGGCCAGAGGGTCACTGGCTTATTTTGCAGTCTTGCCAACAAACTCCTCTTGGATCTGTTGTTCAATGCAGTTCCGACTGATTTTCATCCAGAAGAGCTCTTCATATTTTAATTTTGGTTTCCTTTTCCTTTGTTCATTGTGAATTATTTATCCTGTGTTTCACCAAGGGAGTCTAATTTTCTCATCTTCTCCCTTCCTAATATTTAAGATCTCTCTAGGTGTCTCTGCAATACACCCATGTTCCCTGATTGAAGGAGTTGCAGACAAAACCCGCAGTTAGCATTTTTAGCTTGCAGAGATAAATTTTTGTGGCTGTATACATTTCTATGTGCTGTAACTCTATTTACTTTAGCAGAAGAGTCCTTAAGATTGACAAATGAAGAAACATATTTAAAATATGTATCTTGCAAATGTGTTAATGCCTATCTAGGCTATAGGTCCCTGTGGAAATAAGAAGAGGCATTCTTTTAATAAACAATGGAGTACATCCAGTTTTTCTTCCTACTTAAGTTATTTCCAGCACATTCACTAAAATGCTACCAGATTCAATAATATTTGTCTTTTTCTTGGCTTCTAACATATATAGCTTTCTTCCATGACAACAAGTCCAAGATTTTTTGGAGCTGAAGCAGGAATGATGATGTGTTTTTGTTGTTGTTGTTCTTCTAACCAGCTGTCTTTGCTCATCTTGCTGTCACTAGGAGAAGACATCTGCTTAGTACATTCAATATTTTCACTTTGATTCTCAACAGGGAGGTCAGAGCCCATGAAAAATGTCCCCCAAAATATTTTGTTACCACAAATATTTCTTTTAAGACTGGGGTACTTTGTTTATTCATTGTAAGCTCCATAAAGTATTTAACTGATTCTCTTCCTGTAAAGCAAAGCACTCATGATTTCTGTGCTCAGATCTGGACATGAGATATTTACCATTAGTGAGATATGGTGCAAGATACTGGATGGTATTAAATACAAAATCTAATGGCTTCTGCTTTAATTATTACACTTTGTTCTGATGAGATACTAGAAGTATGTTTTTTTCCCCAACTAAAATGAGACCCAGAGAGTAACCCAGATTAATGAAATTATCAACTTCTTTACCAGTTCTTAGTGTTAATTTCATCAAAATTCATTAGAAGAAAGGAATAGTGCTAGTTATGGTTTGGATGTGCCAAAATGCTTCAGGCAGTTCTTTCTTCTAGGCACTAGCAAGTCCCTTTCCTCATTAACCAAAGATACAGTCTAGCAAAACATTTCAATCCTTAAATCCACCCTGTTCAATGGAACACTTAAATCTAAGCTGAAATCTCTCTGGGCTCAAATTGGATTTAATCATGTCCTTAAAATGAAGTATGCTCCACTAGCACATGGCTGGACCGTGCTTCTCAGCACTGGAATATAGCAGTTTTACAAAACTTTACCATTTCTGAGGCACAGGCTACTATGGCCTAGACTGTAGATGAAGCAGAGCAGGGAACAGAGCCTAAAATGTTTGCAGGAAGGTTTATACTTTCCTGAGCTACCCCAAACTCACCGTGGCCAACAGTGAAATGATATGGAATTAGACAGGACTGATGGCCAGGTAAAACTGAGCATCTTGTGAACCACTTGCAACTCCAAGATGTGCCCAGAGATGGAGGGTTTGATGATGGTTACTATCTCTGATACACTCACAGAAAATTGGGGAGTTAGTTGGCGACTGTATTTCTCACCAGTGAGGATTCCCTTGGGGTTTTGGCCCAGTCTCAATTGCTGTCAGAGATCTGTGACTCACTAAAGCCTGCTCAGTACTGTGTCTTGCATTCCTGTCTGGGTGCAAACATACCTGCAGAGTGGGGAATGACAAAGCTTGGCCCCACTGCTGTTTCTAGATTCATTCTACCAGGCAGCACACATGTGTATCTCTCAATCAGAAACAAGCACCCTGTTGGGAAATTAATTCAGTCTTGCAGGATGAGTCTTTTCTCTCCCGTCTGCCTAGTATCCATGCTGGTGTTTCCTCATTCCTTCCCCAGTGCCACAGGAATGCTGTTGCTGTGAGCTCAGGTTTTGCATGTGCTTCCAAGAATGCCCTTTAGAGACTGAGGGGTCAAGTGTGACACTGCATGTCTTGGTGAACACTGGCGTCCTCCTGGCGAGGCGGGTGCGGAGTGCTGTGGTTTGGGGCAGAGGAGTCTCCAGTTGATCTAACACTAATTGCATCTGATCTTTGTCTGTAAATTAGGTGGCAGCTCTCCCAAAAACACACGCTTAGTGTGTTTTCCAGCCTCTTTGGCTTTTACCCACAGAAGAATTAGTTCACCAGGTGGGTGACTTTCCTGTTGTTCTGGAATTGTTGCTAGTGAGGGAATATCTCAGTTCCCCACAACTTCATCTGATTAAGAGATGACTTGCAGCAAAAGTGACTTGGGTTAGAGATAAAGCAAACATTTCCAACTGTGAAGCTCTGGAATGGATCCTCTAGATATTCTTATGAGCAGGGTAGGTGAACCCCTGTCAGTTTCGGCAGTGCTGCTCCCGCTTTATGGCCTGAGAGGTGGAATTCCTAAGGACTCTTCCCATCCTGAGTTTTTTGTTTCGTGATTTTTTGCATACGAAATCTCACTGAAAAGGAGAGACCCAAACTCTGAAAAGCAAGGTTTCACTTGTTGACTTCTGGAAACTTTGCACAGAATGGGGTTCGATAGGAGGTCATGGTGTGTCATTCCCTGTTCTAAACCTTGTGCTGTGGGTTTCTAAGGGCTCCTCCAGACATGGGAAGGTGAACTGAATGGTTAAAATCACACAATACAGGGAAAGTAGGAGCAGAAGCCAAGTTTCCAATCTCCTAGTCATGCACCTTAAACACTAAAAAACTTAATTTCCTTGAATTAATACTGGCCCAGGCTGACTCCTGTATTCCTGCCTCCTGACTGGCCTATGCAATGTCAGGCATTTCAGTCTTTTGCTGTTTAATTCATTTTGCTGCTATGGTGCAGGGTGCGGTAGATATTACCAAAGGAATGATTGTATGTTTGCCAGTATTTTTGATTCTTTCCAGGCAAAGAGCAGATTTTCACAGCCAGGCTCAACACCTTGAATTTTCTACTTTCATTTCCAAAGTGTATGATATTGGTCATGATAGAAAACTGAAAAAACCCAGAAAATTCATGCTGTGTTTGACAAGGCAGTGACCATTCTGGGCAGCATGTTACAAGGGTAATGGGCTGCAAATCAAACTTCTGCTGCTGTGCTGCAGAGGATTAGTCACAGTTCATCTACCAGCAAAATGGAGGTAGTAGTAGTTACTATCTCAAACTCTGGAGGCTCAAGGCTTAAAACTTTTGGGATCATTTAAAGGACACTGCTATGGATGGGCACAGTATTCTATCTTCTGTTAACACTACTGGAAAATTTCATAAGCTTGATGGATAAAGAAGCAATAACTGTTGGATATGGAACCAGGAAAATATTTGACCACTAGTTTTGTCTGAAATACTAAATGAAGAACACTTGTCTCTCATCTCGGGCCAAAGGGGTTTTTTTAGTGATCATATACTTCCCCTAGATACCAGTTGACAAAACACAAGGGCTGTTGTAGCTCTGCGAGAGCACTTGAAGAAAGAAAACCAAAACAGGCAACAGTTCCTGTGTCTATCTGCCATCAAGAGCTCCACCATGCTGAGACTGAGAGACGTGGGTGCCAGGAAACTCCTGGTTATGACCACCTGCTCCTGGTGGAAGAAAATCCCATTGTGACTTGTCCTCGGGGTGCAATGCAGGAGCGCGACCTCGCAGCCCAACACTCAGCTGGCAGGAGACAGGTGAACTGTAGGTTCTGCAGGAGGGAACTGAACCTGGCTTTACAGGGCCTCAGGCGAAGGCTTTGGCTGCTCATCTTGAGCTGGTGCTGCAGTCTCTTCCATCCGGGATCAGCCGTGCCCGTGTCTTTCACAAGAGGCCACGTTCACAGAGCACTGCACTCTCTAGGTAACACCTACGGCACAGGGCCCTGGTGACTCACGCGCTGCTTGGCTTTGGTTTAGGATTCAGCAGGGTTTAAACACCAGGTAGGTGGCTAGGACAAGGCTGGGGTATTTCTAGTCACAGTCCTAATGCTTAGAAAACACCTGCAGCCATGACTGCTCATGCAGATTTAGCTGCAGTGCTTCTAAGGAGCCAATCTGGCCCGGCAGGCCTCTGTTCCTGGGGGGAATTTAGCACCCCTGGTTCCTGGGGGGAATTCAGAACCTCTGGTACACAGGGCCAGTGCAAAACACCAAATCAGCCCTAGAGGGGGGTTTGCACTGAGGACTAAATTGGGGAAATGCCATGCTTTCCCTTCTGAGGGGGTCTGCCAGGGTGGGGTGAAATCTCTTGGGGAGTCTGATTGGGAAGTACACTGGTTTTGGCAGCCAGGGAAGGTGGAGAGAGGCTGAATCACAATGCTCTGCTACAGCTTAAGTATTTTAGGCACTGATTGTCCTTTTTATTGTGTCCAAACGAGCAATCTTGCCCTCCTGGGGCTGTCAAGCACTGACTGTGGACATTAAAGCTGGTAATGGGATAAGACGTAAACATCTTCTTGAAAGCACACACCAGAGCCCTTTATTTTAAAAATGAAATACATTTGAAGTGCCTACAAACTCACCCAGAAATCTCTTTCCAAATGAGTAAGGTTTGGCAAGGCTCCCCTCCACAGCCTGAACACAATGTAACCCTTCTGCCTTCCCGTTCTCTTCAGGGCAGATGCAGATACCGAACAGCTACTTAAAGGGTAACATTCCATTATAAAAACAATCACACTCAACATCCCAATTTATTTTAATTGCAGTCCTTAGAAATAGCCACAAAACAATCAAACAGAAAGCAATCAGAAAATAGTTTCCCTTCCCCCTCTCCTTAGTATTTGCAACAAGTCTTGTTTTGAATCTGTGAACACGCAGCTCCTTTGGAACTCCCTGCACCTTTTTTACCCCCTCACCTTGTTCTTTGCCCCATCTGGGGAACGAAAGATTAAAAGTTGGTTGGAGAAGCACCCAAAAAATCAAAAGGAGCCCTGGACAAAACTTCCCTGTGAAAAGTTGCATCCTGCAAGGCACAGGGTGCATTTCTGGGCCTACGGCTCTCCCGGCTCCGGGATGCAGAGCAGGAAGGTGATGCTCGCAGGGTCGGGGCCGCCCCCAGCCCCGTTCCCCCCCGCCCAGGTACCGGGAGCCGCTGCCGCCCGCCCCCCCCCAGCGGCGGCGCGGCGCAGCCCCCTCCCGCCGCGCGGCCGTCCCGGCCCCGGCCCCGGCCCCAGCCCTTACATGGACAAATCTGCCTGCAGGGAAAGGCAGGAATTTGGGCCCTTGACGTCAGCCGCGGGCAGAGCGCGGCAGCCCGGCAGAGCGGGAGGCAGCGGCCGCCGCTTTCGCTTTTTGTTTCGGGGCCGTCCCGCCGAGCTCGGGGCCGCCGGCCGCCCCTCCCTGCCCCCCAGGGGAG